AAGAATGGAAATTTGATAGTCTACCATCTCTTACCGGCAACAGTTCATTTGAATCACACGCAATTACTATTACCCACCCTGTTACAATCCATTTTGTAGTTATTTATCGTCCCCCAGGTCAACTGGGTAACTTCTTAGATGAGTTGGATGTGTTACTCTCAAACTTCTCTGAGGATGGTACTCCTCTGGTACTGCTCGGTGATTTCAACATCCACCTAGATAAACCACAGGCTGCTGACTTCAACACTCTGCTTGCCTCATTTGACCTCAAGCATGTGTCTACTACAGCTACTCACAAATCAGGTAACCAATTGGACCTTATCTACACACGCTACTGCTTAACTGAGAACACTTTAGTTACGCCGTTGCACACCTCAGACCACTTCCTCATCACTTGCTAACCTCACACTGACTCTGGATACAATGCACAATCCTCCGCAGGTCACCTTTCGGCGTAACCTACGCTCGCTCTCTCCCACTTGCCTATTCTCTATGGTTTCATCCACACTTCCTCCACCCTCTCAGTTTTCAGCACTGGACACAAACACTACTGACTGCAGAGAGGAAGTGGCGCAAATCAAAACACTCTGCTGACCTTAGTGTATATCAGTCACTCCTCTCCTCCTTCTCTGCAAGTGTCTCCACTGCTAAAACAACATACTACCACAACAAAATTAACAACTGTTCTGACTCTTATCTAAATCCAGCACTTTTAGAAAACTACAGACCGATATCCCTTCTTGCGTTCATTGCAAAGACACTTGAGCGAGTTGTGTTCAACCAACTCTCTATGTTTCTTGCACAGAACAACCTCATGGACAGCAACCAATCTGGCTTCAAAAGTGGCCACTCAACTGAAACTGCACTGCTCTCGGTTACTGAAGCCCTGAGACTGGCAAGAGCAGTGGATGATCAGTTAAGCTTCACAGACCATATTGCTACAACAGCCCAGTCCTGCAGGTTTGCCTTATACAACATTAGGAAGATTAGTCCCTTCCTAACAGAGCAGACCGCACAACTCCTTGTCCGAGCTCTTGTTCTCTCCAGACTGGACTATTGTAATGCTCTCTTGGCGGGCCTTACTGCATGTATTATCAAGCCTCTGCAACTGATCCAGAATGCAGCAGCCAGAGTGGTCTTCAACGAGCCGAAGAAAGCTCACGTCACACCTCTCTTCATCAGCTTGCACTGGCTGCCAATAGCCGCTCGCATCAATTTCAAGGTACTGAGTCTTGCACAGCAACCAATCTGGCTTCAAAAGTGGCCACTCAACTGAAACTGCACTGCTCTCGGTTACTGAAGCCCTGAGACTGGCAAGAGCAGCTTCCAAATCCTCAGTACTCATCTTGCTGGATCTGTCTGCTGCTTTTGACACTGTTAACCACCAGATCCTCCTGTCCACCTTCATGAAGATGGGCATCTCAGGAACCGCACTCCAGCGGTTCAAGTCTTACCTCTCTGGTAGGTCCTTCAGGGTGTCTTGGAGGGGTGAGGTTTCTAAGTCACAACTTCTTGCTACTGGGGTTCCTCAAGGCTCAGTACTTGGACCACTTCTCTTCTCCATCTACATGTCATCATTAAGCTCCAGAAGCTTGCGTTCTGCAAGTGAACGAGGCCTCGTGGTGCCATCCCAAAGAGGCACAAAATCACTCTCACGGACCTTTTCCTGGACTGTTCCCAGCTGGTGGAACAACCTGCCTATCTCAATCGAGCAGCTAAGTCTCAAGTCATTTTCAAAAAACATCTAAAGACATCTTTTTCGCCATCACCTGACCAATTAATACTAGCACTTACCTATTCTATTCTATTCTATTCTATTCTATTTGGTCTAATGTATTTATATATAGATAAAAACACCTTGCTATGTGCACTGTGCTAGACTAACTGAGACTTGTCATAACACTTGTATATTGTTGCTCTCTCGTTGGTCTGATTGCTTCTACTTTGTAAGTCGCTTTGGATAAACGCGTCTGCTAAATGACTAAATGTAAATGTAAATTGTGTTGTTGAGACAACAGTGAAACTGTTTGCATCAGGTAAAACAATTTGCTAAATATCAAACATTTTATTTTTCTTATTTTGTTTGTTTATGCCTCAGTGATGGACCATATGCATGATTTCCCAAGCCTAACTTAAGATTTTTCGGCTCATTCAACTCAATAAGCAAACAATTCCTGACACAAGAGGAGTACTGTCTACTGGGGCGTGCATGTGTACAACTTCCTTTGAACTATAAAATCAGTTTTAAATATTGTGCAATGGGTCTTCAAATGAAAATGTGTGCTCTAAAGTCTAAAGGAGTACAATATGAAGGATCAAAAACCATGCACCACCATTCATAAAATACCCTCAGTAATCATTACAGATGCAAAGTCATATTACTATCGCCCAACAGGTACACTTGCATGGTGATGTATCCCCAGTGGTTATTATTTAATCAGCAGTAAATGGTCTTAATTTGTAGATTAGTCTCTTTCCAATTAGCTCACTCTGTAATTGCCCTAATCTACCACTGCAGTCCTTTGAATCCTAATTTAGAGCTGTGCATTTAGATTCACAGGGGACCTATCAAATGCATCATTATGAACCAAGTTATTCTCACATAAACCAACTGCTTATGAGCCATTCCGGCCCAATTTGGAGAGCAGCTGCTGTGTTTTTGTTTCTATTGTGCCATCATTTGACTTGTGAAGACATTGTGAAGTCATGCTGCACTATTTAGTTTTTTTATGCTGGCTAAATGAGACCTTTGAGGTCCATTTTATTCTTTATTGCCCATTGCAATTTCCCTCCATCCGGCTTGACTTCTAATTTTAGAGAAGAATATGAGTGGTCACTCATTATGCTTATTCTGTCATTTGACACCATGTGGAGCCCTGCAAAAGCTGGGCTGGGGCTACATGCATAAAACTTGCCAATAATTTAATCCTGAAAGTTTGAGTACACACAGCTGAGCTTTCAGGAAAAAAAAGTTAGGTAGATCCTTTGCAGATCCCGTTTTTGGTATTGCCATCATTATTGTCATTACGAAATATTAATCTCAGTTGTGCATATAATCATTTAATGCACATTTTATTTGGATTTTATTAATATACCAATGTTTCCATCTAGTAATTTGTTAAAATATAAAATAATTTTATTATTAACATTTTTAGTTTTAAGTAACATTTGGCAGATTCTGTGCTGGGTTCATTGTATAAATTTTGCCCCTGAAGTAATTATAACCCTTAAGTAGTTACATTGTTATCAAATATTTCTGGCAAATTATATTATGTAGCATCTTGCATGTTTTGTGACACTTTCATGTCACAACATTTTATTGCGTTGATTGTTTTTAATGTTCTATGGCATTTGAAAATTGCTTACCACCTACACTAAACCCAACCTTAAACTCAAAACCGATGTGTTAATGAAAGCAGTGTTAATAAAACGCAGGCATGAGATAAAAGATGAAGCAGCCTTGACATTTTAGCTTGCTTCTACAAGTCTTTGAGCTCTTTTATCGTGACTGGTTTCACAGGATGCGTACCTGAGCACTCTGCACTGCAAGTACAGTACAATGCTGTACCAAGTGAGCTAAGTTTACTATGTCAGAAAAGCCATACATATGAAACTAGTTATGTTATGCAAACATCAAAATGCATGATTTAACTAATGAAAAATCATGCAAACCATATAAAAGTATTTTAAGATTATAACATAGCATGAAAACAATTTGGTAACACTTTTGTATAGGGGCCAATTCTCACTATTAACTAGTTGCTTATTAGCATGCCTGTTAATAACATATTACATTTACATTTAATCATTTAGCAGACGCTTTTATCCAAAGCAACTTACAAATGAGAACAATAGAAGCAATGAGACCAACAAGAGAACAACAACAGTATTACAAGTGCCATGACAAGTCTCAGGTAGTCTAGCATAGTACACGTAGCTAGGTTTTTATTTTTATTTTTATTTTTTATAAATAATAGAGTGGAATAGAACAGAACAGAATAGGTAAGTGCTAGTATTAGTTGGTCAGGTGCTGGCGAAAAAGATGTGTCTTTAGATGTTTTTTGAAAATGGCTAAAGATTTAGCTGTTCGAATTGAGATCGGGAGGTCATTCCACCAGCTGGGCACAGTCCAGGAAAAGGTCTGTGAGAGTAATTTTGTGCCTCTTTGGGATGGCACCACAAGGCGCCGTTCACTTGCAGAACGCAAGCTTCTGGAGGGCGCATAAGTTTGAACTAGCGAGTTTAGGTATATTGGTGCAGCGCCAGTGGTTGTCTTGTAGGCAAGCATCAGTACCTTGAATTTGATGCGAGCGGCTACTGGTAGCCAGTGTAACCTGATGAGGAGAGGAGTAAGGTGAGCTTTTTTTGGCTCATTGAAGACCACTCTCGCTGCTGCATTCTGGATCAGTTGCAGAGGCTTGATAGTACATGCGGGAAGGCCCGCCAAGAGAGCAATACAATAGTCCAGTCTGGAGAGAACAAGAGCTTGGACAAGAAGTTGTGTGGTTTGCTCTGACAGGAAGGGTCTAATCTTCTGGCTAATACTGGCTGTTTATTAGTACTTATAAAATAAAAAACACATATTCTACATGACCATATTCTACATCCCTAATCCTACCCAATACCTAAACTTAACAACTACCTTAACTATTAATAAGCAGCAAATCAGGAGTTAATTGAGGCAAAAGTCGTAGTTAATGGTTCGTTAATAGCGAGAATTGGACAGTAAATTAAAGTGTGACCAATAATTCTTTATTAAATCATAATTTGCCCTGTAATCATAATTACATTGCAGTGAATTGTATGTATAAGTTGTGCAAATATTTAGGTAGGGGCACACTCTTCCAATAAGCCTATACTGAATAATTATTCCACCTCAATCACGTGTATGTTTTTAATAGGCATTTTATTTGCATTTATTTATAGACTGATGTTTTCATTTAGCATTTTTATTTTTAGAATTAAGCAAAAATATTCAAAACTTAATGATGTTAACTTACCTGCCCTGCACTTTAATGTCTGAGATGGCATAGAAGTATCTAGAAAGGTTGTTCTCGTCCACCATTGTGGCTCCGGTGGCAGGCCGTAGAAGTCTTATTCGAAGGTCAGTGAGGGTGAAGAAATCCCTTAGGTTCTTGGTGGTGTCCAGTTGCCCATACAGAGAAGCCATGTTGTGCAGTCTCGGGCCGGCAAGAAGGGCGAAGCGGTCTTTGATCTCGAAGCGCACGGTCTTATCGTACTTCCACACGTAGCCCGTTGAATAGGCCTCTGTGCAGATGATCTCTAGCATCGTGCTTGGGTTCAGCTGATGTACTGCTTTTGGCTCCATAGTAAAGGCATCCAAACAGTCAGATGCGTAAAACTGATACGGCTGCCATGTACGACCGTAATCCAGGGACTTCTCCAAGACCAACTGCTCGGGTCGGCCAGACTCAAAGGTGAGGACAATGTCATCGGTGAGTTCTATTGTTTTGTTCCAGGACAGCGTGATGTTGACCTGAAGCGGCTTGGGGTATTTCTTCCAGGAGGTCGACTGCCAGAACGTGGTTGGGTTTCGTCCTTCAGAGTCAAACATGAGCTCGGGCGGGTGGGCCAGCTCTTCGGTATCAGCGTCGCATTCGTTATTACACATATATGGGTTTTCCTGAAACACACACAGAGACCGGATGTGTTAATTATACAGTACGCTAATAGTAGTGGGTTTCCTGTTAGACAGTGCCACTCGTTTGAGGTGAACCCACACTGAGATGTTTCATTCTCCTCATGAATCACAATGTTAATGAACATATTCTTTGGTGAAAACACTTCAGCCTCCATTAACGCAGTAAGTTGGACATTTTCCTGAGTTGACTGCTAATACAACGCTCTGAATGGCCATCGCCTGCTTTCAGAGCGGTGTGCCTCATGAGAGCTGCTCAATGGTTACCCGCTCGCTCACTACCACCCAAATTGCTAATATAATTGATATTCTTGCTTGTTGGCCAGTTGGAATGGGAGTGGAATTCCGATGAGTGAAGTTGGAGGTACACACAGAGCTCCATGCATTTTTCATGCGTCTGTGTCTGCCCTGCACCGCTGAGCCACTGTGTTTCAGATCAACTTTTTCATTAATATTCTGCACACCTCTGAGCCATAGCGCAAATGACAATCAGCCATGAACTTTGAGGAGACGGCCATTCATTTCCGTCTTGTATACATGTTTGATCGGCTGCAATTGTCATACATCTTGTTTTGTTTTAGGCACAAACAGTGGCTGAATGCAATTACAAAAGATGCATAACATCTAAAGGCTCTTGGGACAAAATATTAAGCTTTGTTTGTGGAATAATTTTATCCCCTTCGCTGCTGTCAGTGGAAGAACTGACAGATTGTGATGCTTCCTCTCATCAAATTAATTATCTACTTTGCGTTGTTGGATCAAAATGTATTTCCCTTGTTTGTTTAGTCCAGGAATGTTCACAGGGAGATTGGATCTTAGATGCTGTGCTGAGCAAAGACTGTTTCACTTGGGCACAAGTGTTTAGTCAGGCAGAATAAACATATCTTTAAAGGAAAATCCATTTACTGCTATTCATGTCACTCCAAACCCATATACTGGTTTCCATAAAGCACAAAATATACATTTTTGAAGAATCTTTACACAATTCTTGCTATACAAAAACAGTTCATAGTAACCAGTGGCTTTCAATCTGCAAATATTACATAAAAAAGTGTGTGAAAAAATGTCATATTCCTTTTCTTACTTTAGGCATAATTGTGCACAATTCAGAATTGTTTTTTTTTCTTCTGAAACTGAAATGTGGTAGCAAACAGAATAGAAAAACAATGGGAATACAATTCGAATTTGAATTAATTGAAAGTCATTTAAAAACACTTTTGAAGGTTTTATAATAGATAGTTTGGATCTGTTTGAAATGCCTTACTTTCTGCCTTATTTTTAACATAACAGAAGACTCAACCATTTTTAACTGGAATGTGCAAGGTTTCCGATGTCAGCCACTTCCAGTTATTTTAGCTGTTTGATATGCTACGTGATGTTGCAAACTGGTATTTGATACATATTATTTTATTTATTATTGTAATCATAAACACACTGGTTTGTAGCCCAAACAGTTAATACTGTTTATAGTAGTAATATAATAATACCGTTTCCTGCACTTTGTTATTCTTTTAGTTATAGCGACTAATTCATTGAAAGTCTAACACACTCACAAGAAATTGCTTACATCTACATTGAAAAATAAGGTGAATAGAACTGTATACTGAACTTATTTTTATTAAGCCAATTTATGGATAAAGATGAAGGACTTAATCTTCCAGAATGCCAGAACCTGCTATATTTCTCTTATATAGTATTATATAATAATTATATA